AGATTTTATCTTCATTTCGCAAATTCCCAAAACCAACTCAAGCCCAAAATATCACTATTATATTTTTAAAAAAATTGCCCTAAACTTTTGTATTTTATAAAAGAGTCTATCTTCTATTATTTTGTAACAATATTGCTTCGTCTTCTCGATCATCTGATAGTGTATTATGTAGTTAATTATAAAAATGATAATTTTATACCAAATTTATTTATGTTCAAGACTATGGTTTGCGATAATATAATGAATGTTATTTGATAAAGGTACCGTTGGGTATTTATGATAGTTTTTAGGACTTGCGGGTATAAGTCATGTTTCATGTTTTTTCAAAAAAAAAAGTGAAATATGTTTTGAGAACTTATGTCCAAACACAATTTCATCTTCAAACCAAACTTCACAAAATCAAATTTTTCAAAACAAATTGGGGAATCTATGGCCAAACGAGCAATATATTTTGCAAAAAAAATATTTTTTGCTACCTAATCTATATACTGTCGAGATCAGGCTCGCCTATTCCACGACAAATCGAGATTGAAACATGATGGGCTGAAGATCGACCCCGGGTTCCACCGAACCAAGGTACGAGGTCAGAATACCCGTTCTCGAGAACATCGAGTCATTGATCCCGAAATCAACCCTGACCTCGAATGGGCTCGAGGAAACATCACCATACCGAATAACGGAAGGCAAATTATCTGTAACCAATCGAGTATCGCGGCGGGAATCTCGGCACGTATCAGTGAGAAACCGGCTAATTACCAAATCACGGGACTTTTACCTTTTATAGAATTGTACCTAAAGTAGGACTCCCCTACTATATAAAGGAGGTCTGATTATTTATAAAACACATTGTAACACGCATCCCAAAGCATTATAATATTATTTTCTTTCTTCAAACTAATGTTCTCCTGTATTTGATATCATTTGCATTACTTCCAGTTCGAGTGAGACTTACTTTTCAAGGCTATAACTGTTCAAGTCACACGCCTTGAATTGCTTTATTATTTTTCGTTTTATTTATAATTCAATTTATCGCTTTGTGTCAAACTAATCCACGTATCCTTAAAACCACTTACAAATTCAATTGTTATCCAATTTAGAGGCAACAGTGGATCGTGTTAACTTAAAATAGAAGGTCGGTCATGAACCGGTATCAAAGATTGCATCAACAGTATCTGAGGTTTCTCTCTATGATCAACCTTGAATACTGGGGAGCATTACCCTCGGATGTCGACTTTAGCAAGGAAAGAAACTTCGTGATTGATGGGTCTCGATAGATAGGATTTATTGTAAGGGCCAAACGGTCAAATAAACTATGCTCGCATAGACTGCTCGAGCCCTGGCACAAAGCATGTACTCATGTATAACTATTTTGCACAAGAATAAAAAGAAGTCTCTTTCTTGCAATTTCTCAAGGAATTTCCTACATCCGACCCCCTAAAGGTATCGAACCCAAGGGCCACCTTAACTCGAGTTCGAACAAACTCTCACTCGGGGACTGTCGTCCGAAAATAAGGCCGAACGGTCCGGGTTGTCGGAACTCGAGGGCACAAGACCTATTAGGAAAACGCCCGAATTTTAAAGGCTACGTCCATCCCCCTCGGAGACTGTTATCCTAGGCAAGCCCCGAGAACTCGGGTTGACAAGCCCATTGGGCAACACCCGAACTAAAAATGCTATGGCCAAATTAAACGGCTCGCAGACGTTCGAGGCCCGTAACAAAAACAACAAAGCCTTAAAACTTCTTAACCGGTTCTAAAAGCTACCCTCGACAAACTATAATCTAAGAAAGTATAAGTACCTTGGGGACAAAAAATTCAGCCACACCAAAACCCCACAATGCCTTAAAAATAAAATAATGTTAAAGGCAAGGCTTGTTCGAAACTTCAGGCATAAACCTAACCATGAAAGGCATGTTATCTTTGCAAATATAAAAAAGCAAAGAACTTAGAAATTGCTGAAGGAAAAAAAGGCTTTATATATATCAAAACTTTTTACATCGGCCGAAAATGGCCTCAATACAAATCCTTTACAAAGGCCAAACGGCCTTAACCAAAGAGATAAACAATTTTTTTTCAAAAAAAGAGCCTAAGTGGCCTAGTCTTCGCCGAAGGCCACCTCGTCACCCTCGGGATCCCCTCCGTCTTCAGACTCTCTTAAACCCTTAGAGTCATTATCATCCTCGGGATAAGCCAACTTTTTAGCCTCGGCTTCGAGCTCCTTGGCATTCTCGATTTCAGCCAACAAGTCGAAACCTCGAGCACGAATTTCCTCAAGATCCTCCCTTCGGGATTGTCGCTTTGCGAGTTCAACGAGATCCTTTGCTCGAACTTGGGTCGCCTCGGCATCGGCCTTGTAAACGGTCACCATCTCCTCTGCATCATCCTTGACCATCTCGGCCTCCGACCTGGCCGTCTCAAGCTCCTTGGCCAGATTCTCTCAATTGGAGATGGTCGAATTCAGCTGCGACTGAAGTTCCTCGATCTTTTTAGCCTGCACCGAAGCCTTTTCCTTTACGACTCGAAGCTGGAACTCAGCCGAAGTCAGTTGTGCCCGGGCGATCTCCTTTTCTGAGGCCAGGCATTCCATGTTCTTTTTGGATTCTTCGGCCTCGGCCTTCACCGCATCTACCTCTGGCTGGAGCTGTCTGATTTGGTCCAGCTTCTGTTGGGCCTGTGAGCTCGGGCCATTAGCCATCGTATCTTACTCATCATTACTAACCTCAAATACTTTTCTTACCTGCTCGACCAGGTCGGCATGCTCATTTTGAGCCTCCTCTAGCTCAGCTTGAAGTTTCTTGACCTACCCTTCACGTTGCTCACTAAGAAACTTGTAAGCATCCCTCGTTTCAATGAGCTCTCGGGTCTCGGCCGCATGGTGGTTTAACTCTTCTCGATATTGGAGAAAAGTCTCGTGATGAAGCACCGAGGCTTACAAATTCAAAGGAAAAGATTACAATCATTTATGATTTAATCTAAGTACGGAACAACAAAAAAAGTCGTCAAGAGGCATTTGAAGATACCCGGTTTAACGCTTGTTGGGCTTCGTTGAACAGGTAGGGCATTTCTACCTCGTTCATCTTTACTTGATCCTCTTCGGTCACCAGGCATCGAAGATAACTTGCAACCACCACGAGGGCAGAGAGGACCCGGGCATCCTCTAGAATAGACATAATAATCGACCGCTTCTGGTCGGGATCTGCATACGGAGACGGAACCGGTTTACTAGTTTCGGACTCGAAGAAGGCCCGCTAGTTGTCGAAGACGGACTCTTCTTTGGTACCGACAAATCACCCAACCTGGTGACGTCCTCCGAAGCACTAGAGTCTAAACCATCAAAAAATTTGTGACATGGGTCTGCCACCTCATGGGGCCCCTCACTAGGGAGAGGTTTCGCTGTCTGAGCCTCATTGATCATTGTCTCAGTGAATGAAGGTGACTCGGTGATGTCTATCACACCGAGTACATCCTTCGAGGCTCCGCCCTTACAGAAGCATTGCATTGCATCGACTGTGGCAGAGTTAGTTTGGATACTGGGATTGTTTAAAGACAATGGAGTGCCAGTTGCTCTTCCTGTGACCTTTCACACTGACAGCAAGGCAGCAATTCAGATAGCTGCAAATCCAGTATTCCATGATCGTACCAAACCCATTGAGATCGACTGTCACTTCATAAGGGAAAAGATACAAAAGGGGCTGGTGAAGACAGAGTATGTTGCCACAAAAGAACAACTTGCAGATGTTTTAACTAAAGGCTTAACTAGAGTGCAACATGAGTACTTGATGTCCAAGCTAGGTGTTCTTAATGGTTTTTTATCACCTAGCTTGAGGGGGAGACGAGGAGTGTTGAGGAAAGAGGAGTGACTTAAGCATGAAGGGTAGTTTAGTCTATTTAAACATGGCTGGATTAGTTAAGTTTGTTAGATAGGTTGTTAGAAGTTAATCATGTAGGTGATTGATTAGTTAGAAGTTAGCTCATTGTATATAAGGGCTACTGTACGGCTCATTAGAGCAGAATGAAAATGTTTACTGTTTCATTCATTTCTTTCATCTCTTCTCTTCGTCTCCCTTCTCCCTCTCAAGTAGGGTTTCTTACTGCATTCAATCCATAAACTTTAGCAAAAGTACATGCAGAGGCCAGAAGGTATTCACTTGGCTTCGCACAAATCCGAAAGTGCTTAATTTACAAAGGATAAAATAATCGATATGTCCCTTACCAAACTTGAAAAAATATATATTAATTAATTATAGATAAGTTATGTTACATATATAAGCTTCAAATTACTTATTACAAGCTTAGATAGAGGAGAAGAGTCGCAATAGATGGACTACCAACTCAACTAATTAAACTATGTTGAATAGTAATAATGAACGTCTTGAGAGGTGTTCTACTTCTCTTCTTTTATTATAAAAAAAAAAAAAATACTTCTCTTCTTTAATTTATCTTAACCGACAAATAACTATTAAGCATGAACCCGTCTAAAAATAAAAACTTAATATTCAAAAAATAAAGGAACGATCCTATACATTGAGTTTCGAACTAGTACACATTTGATAATTTCTCTATAATAAATATAAAAGAAAATAGATTGGAATAACTATAGTCTTTCTAAGTGATTCACATGGTGTAGTTATTCCCTCCGATCCAATTAATTGATTTTTGGACACTTTATATATATATATATATATATATAAATATATATATATATATATATTAAAAAATTTACCTTTTAATACTAATTAATAATAAAATTGATCACATTAGTCTTTACTATCTCTTTAATTTATTCATTAAACCAAGGCAATTTCAAAATAAAAAAATATTTTTTTTAGATACCTAAAAATTAAATATTATAGATCATAAAAAAATCAAAATCCAATTATAGTGAACCGGAGTAACATAAAAATAGAGGTAAAACCAAAAAAAAAAAAAAGTAAAAAAAAAAAA